ACTGCTCCTGCCTTTGTTCAAGGTAATTTGCATCATCACAGAGCCTCACAAGACAGCTGAGAGGCTCTTTACCAGCTAAGAACTGCCTGCCCAGAAGAGTTTTCCATCTATTGACTCCTCTGTGAAATCTTATGAAATACAAACTTTCATTTCCACCCAGGAGAACTTGTACAATCTTTTCTCCAATACCCGATGAAGGGTGTTTTTGCCCAAAAGCTTGTGATTAAAGATTTTTTTTTTGTGCAAATATCTTGTTGGTCTAATAAAAGATATCACCTCTACCATGAGCCCTGATTAGTTAAAATCAGAAGTACTTTACATTTGAGCATCAGATGCAGGTGTCCCTGCAAAAGTACAAGCACCTTACAAATCATGTGCATCAGGAAGTGAAGTTGGTATTACCAACAATGAAAGCAAGCCAGGTGCAGGGCATGCAACTTCTCCAACACTACTCCACTGGGCTATTTCAGCCAAGACTGCTTCTGAGCAGAAAGGCAGCAAGGCTACCCTCACACCCCCATTCTAAAGCTCCGGTAGATTCACGGACATTTCACTCCTCCTTTTCAGGAGCAGAAAGGGGAGAGCAGGACAAAGGAACCACCATTCTGCAAAACCCTGTGCAGGGATCCACAGCCAGCCCTAGCCTGGTTTGGCTGCCAAAGCTGAGCCAGGCTCTCCCCCCCTGCTCCCAGGTATCTTGTGTTAATGCTTGTCAGAGAAGGCTTGTTAAGGATTTGGAAGTGGGAATGAGGATGTCTATTTCTGCAGTATCCCAGGACAACTGCCTGACTCAATATGCAGCATTTTACTTCTTTGCCCAATTCTCAATGCACCTGACAGCATCCATCTTCCCACACCAATGTGAATCAATTCTGAGGGCAAGATTTTATGAGACAATATCAGACATTTTACTAAAATGGCATGTTTTATTGATAAACAGCATAATCAACGTCTGGGTTCAGACATATTTTGAAAAAGCCACAATCTGACCATACCATATGTGAAAACCACCTGAGGCCCAAGCCTGGGGTTTTTATACTGGGACAGTCAGCACAAAAAAGTGTCTAACAGTCAAGCTATTTTTGATGACTATCCAGTAAAAATCATACTTAAGCTGCTTTTAAAAAAAATCTGGCATATACACATATATATGCAGCTTTTTTCCAGTATTTTGTTGTTAGGATGGAGCTGCTACAGATTTAATGAAAATATTGAATGCTTCCAACTACATACACTTTATTTTTAGAATTTTTAAATGCACTTTTTGCCCCAAGCAAATACAATTAGCTTAAGAATAGTTTCATACTTACTGAACCTGCAACACATTTAAAAAAAAAAAGTCAGCAACATTTTTCAATCCTTGAAAACATGGAGACGGCCACTGGAGTTACCGCCCACTAGAATATTCTGAGTGGGGTGCAGCACATTGATGGAGCATACAGAACCCAGGTAATCTATATTATAGAAAGAGTGCAGTAATTTCCCAGTGGCCTGGTAGACTTCTATTTGTCTTGGGCGTGCCATGCTGCCAACCACAAAGCAGTCTTCCTGCTTAGGGTCCCAGATTGCTCTGAACCTAGTTAGCCAGCGTCCTGTGTTATTGTTATGTCTATTCATAAAAATAAGAAGAGAGATAAAATGTGAAAATTAAACACTAAATTCAGAAAGATACGCATTCAATACAGCCAATCCTAATACTTGCTTAAACTTAGATTATCCATTTCCACACGCTTATATATGCTTGCTTCAAACAGCATCGCCTTCAGGCTTTGTTAGACAGGATATTCAATACTCAACAGCTGGATGTGAAGGGACAGAAGGGAGGACTAGGAGGTAAGGAAAGTATAGCAAATAATACTTCAACGCCAGCAACCACTTAAAAAAAAACACTGAAGCTTTTGATTGCATCTTCTGGCGAAAATACAAAGAAAATACTTAAAACCATTAAAAAAGTGTAAATTTTCCAAGCCACTCAGAATCATAGAGAAGTAAGGCTGGAAAGGACTCCAGAGCTGACCTAATCCACCACCCTGCTCCAAGTAGGATCACCCCTATCCAAACGACTCCAGACTTGTCCTGGTGTAGCATACTCCTAAAACTAGTCAACACTGTCACACAACTACAAAGGCTTTCTGCCTCGAGACGGCAAAAGTCCCCTAAACTGGTCTGGGTAAAGCAGTGGAACGAGGGCTGTCTGTGTCTGGCCGCTGCAATAGTGGTTAAAGATCCAAGGGAGAGGGCCAGGCTCCCTGCTACGAGAAAGGCAAACCCCCTACATCCTGCACCAACCTGCCTATGGGGTCAAATTCCATCCTGGTTCCAAAATGTGGCAACTGGTCTGACTCTGAGCAGAGGGGCAAGACCCTCAAACCAGTTTTAGTCCCCACAGGAGCACTAGCACACCCCAGTCCTTTAGTGACCCTACATTAGCTATGCCCAGTATGAGAGAAAGGACCCAGCCCTTCCTGATTAGGCAACTGGTTTGTAAGCATTTGGACCTGAGAGGCAGGAGTGAAGGGAAGGAAATAAGGAAAATAAATATTCCTGTGTCTAAAAACAGCTCTTCATGATCAAAAGCTGCGACTTCGAGGTGTTTCAAAATATGTTCTTTTCTGGTGTTTTAACTTTATATTTTTAAAAACACAAAAACAGGCACAAAACTGGCTCCATGGTTAATTAAAATATATTAAAAACTCCTCCCACAAACTTCGTGGCCTCAGCTTTGGGTTGTGTGCAGGCTGTGCCCCGTGCAGGATAGGTAGGCAAGTAAAGGCGGCTTTACATGACCCCGATGCTCAGTTCAGTGGCCAATTGAGACCACTCCTCCATGTGACCAAGAGTACCATCAGGGCAGCTCTAACTGCTGCAGTGGTCTGGGACACCAAGTGCTGTTTCAGGCTGTTGTGAGTCACCAGGGAGCAAAGCAGCCTTTACCATTCCTCTTTTCCCCACAGAAGGGACTGTGTAAAGTGGGATCTGCCAGCACAAGACGGTGCTGGTGTTACAGTACAGACCACGCACAGGACCTACATCTTCAGCCCTGGTGTGTTGCTTACCTAACAGTTGCAACAGGCAGCACTGTAGATGATAAACAGCTGGTATCATAGACCCTGCAAAACAAAACAAGGTGAAAATGATGTTAAAACATATTTAACTAAAACCAGGACTTTTAGGTTTTATGAATGAAAGGTTTATGAATACTCTATCACTGCGCGCCAGAATGAACGCACACCAAAAATCTATCACCCAAAAATCTATCACCCAACTACCTGCGGGGGCACACATCTCACAGGACAGCCACTCCGGCTCTGATCTCCCAGTTCTAATCCTCAAAGGGAACTTACAACGCACCTTTCGTAGACGAGCCTACGAGCTCCACTTCATAAATCTACTGCACACAAAAAATCACGGGCTCAATATAGACATTGGATTTACAACGTATTACAACCTGCCTGACCACCTGCCAGACCTGACCTCTTAAACTTTTCTCCCCCCACCACACTCTTCTCCCCTTCCCTCCCCTACTTTTCTGCCCTTTGTCTTCCTAATATCCAGCTATTTCACTGAGAGCCTCTTTTTTACCTTGTATTATTACCACTGTACTGTTTCCCTTTGGCCTTTTTTCCCCAATGCTTTCTTCCCCCTCCTTTATCTTTTGTCTTTCTAATCTCTGCCTATTTCCATTATCACTAACATCCTGCCACACTTTTAGCTTCTCTCATTCCTTGGAGTCTCAGAACAGCAGAATGCCTATGCCTGAAGAAGGGTGACTCTTGCAAAAAACTTTATTCCAACTACTCAGTTGGTCTAATAAAAGATTTCACATTGACTCAAAGAACCTTGCCTGTCTATCACAAGATAAATACAAATGCGGAACACAGTAAAAGGTATAGTATTTATCAATTCTAGTTTGGGTCCAGGTCTATAAGGTCCAATTGTCATTGATACATATGCTCCAAATTTTTCATTTGGAACAGAATTACTTTGTGTTCACGCCCCTGTAGGGCTTGAGTTGCAGGTCACCCACTTTGAAAGCTAATCCATACCTCAGCACTCATGTGATTTAACTCTTACTGTTTGAACTTTTAGGTTGGGTTTATTCTGACAGCAATAGTCTTCCTTCTGAGGTTTATTCCACAATACAACCATAAAGAGCTGGCATACATAAGATGCACATCCTCCTGGCTATACTGAGTTGGAATTAAATATACACATGAAGTGACACCTTCTTTTCTTAAGGGGAGACAGAGAGAACATGTCTAATTTTTGTGTCCTTAAAAACAACAACAAACAAACATTTTGGGGTCAGATTTGTAGCCAAGCCTTACCCAGGTCTTCAAGTTTTACCTACTATTTGTTTGTGCCATTTAGGTCTTTTAAGCATTTAAGCCACCCAATTTGTGGATGCAATCGAGTGCTTAGATGGCAAGATCACATGTATTATGATCAAACTGACAGCAGGAAAAGGGAGGCCAGCTTTTTAAACTACAGCCTGCAGCATAAATTTGGTTCTTATTATGCCATGTGCTTGATCAAGCTACAGGCAGTTAAATAAAAGCACCCGATTGCCTGTAAAAGTGTTAGCAGAATTGTGTCAAAAAGAAATCTGGGTTCTAGGGATTTTTAGGTGTGATACTGAGCTTCATTACTCAGATTTTGAAGATACATATATGTAAGTTCATATTTGCTGTTGTTGAACCCAAACAGAAAAGAGATTTAAAGTGCAAAGAATGAGAAAATCATATTTGTTGTTACAATTTCTTGAATAGTTAGTTTTCATTAAAAACGTTAAGCAAAGAAAGTTATTTTATAGATTTCATAGACATTTGGGCTGGAAGGGACCTTGGAAGATCATCAAGTCCAGCCCCCTGCCCAAAGGGCAAGAAGTCAGTTGGAGTCATAGGATCCCAGCAAGACAAGCATCCAATTTACTCTTGGAAGACAATAAATTGCATTTACATCCAAACTGGTTTTCGCCATATAAAAACTTCCTTCCAACATCCTCTTACCTCAACTTATCATCAGCACATGTCGTCACCACTCTGTTCCCAGTAACAGGAGAAAAATATGCAGAAGCAACACTCTTTGTGTGCCCATTGAGACAGCATACAGGTTTGTCTCCAGCATGCTTCAGGGATCGTATGTCATAAATGCAAACGTTCCTGCAATATCCGCAGAAAATTATGTTTATAATGTCTGTCACAGGACAACGTTAAAGGCCTTATTTTCTCATGTTACAAATCCCTACAGTGCTACTCAGAATTCCTGAAGGACAACTGGAGGGTCTGTCATACACTTTTCCTCAAAAATGGAGCAGTCTCGTAAGTCCTTTCCCAACACGAAAGTATTAGAAAAGCCAAATTATTTCCAGTTTTGAGATTTTTTTTTTAAGAATAGGTTTCTGCAGAATCAGAAAGCCCTTCAATATAAATTAAGGTTCAATTCATTTCCCCATCGTAAGTATTATTGGATGGCACCTCTACCTAAACAGATGCCATTGATAGCCAATTCCCAGTGTTCTGGCGTGAAACCACAACACAGAACACACAACATAGGAATCACAATCATATGTGGAATTGCATACACTGAGCCAGCAGCAACAAAATACTGTCTGTTCACTGGATGAACGTGGACCGTCCTCGTGGCCTTGGAATTCAGGCTTGCAGAAAGCTCGGCAGAGGTTCCTGGTGTTCGTCTGTCCACAACAGCCACATCACCATCCCAGTGCCCTACCACTAAGGTGGAGGCACTATCTTGCAAGAAGTCGAAGGAGGACATTTGGGCATCTTCGCTTCTGTACACCTAAGCACACAACAGTGATTTAAGTCAGTCAGCGTACACTTATTTCAAAATACAGTCTTACTAATCAGTGAAATCCCTGGCAATCTTTCACAATAACTGAAGTGCAGGATCCAATGTAGACTACTTTAATTGCTGCTGAGAACTTTTACATCATTGTTCTACAAGTAATACTGGTGCAGACTGAATATCTAACAGCCTTACCCCTGAACAGCGAGGCATTTAAACAGTTCATTCATGAGACCAATGAAAACGAACTATATAAGGACACTATATAAGTGTCCTATATAACTATATAAGGGAGCAGGACGGCACACAAGCCTCCATGGCTCACCAAAAGCATCCAGGAATGTCTCCTTGCTAAAAAGGAGGCTTACACCCATTGGAAAGAAGGGGTCATCACCAGGGAGGGCTATTCTGCAGTTGCTCGGGGATGTAGGGGGGTGGTTAGCAAGGCCAAGGCAGAGATGGAACTGGGACTAGCTTCCCAGATTAAGGACAATAAGAAGTCCTTTTTTAAATACATAGGGGGTAAGAAGAAGGTCCCGGGTAATGTGGGGCCCTTACAGGACACATTGGGAAATTTGGTCGTCACACCAGACGACAAAGCTAACATGTTTAACGATTTCTTTGCCTCCGTCTTCCTAAGTAGGGACCAGAACAGCCACCTCCCTGCTGGGCCCCCCTTGTG